GACAGCTGTGCCAGAGCTTGTGACTGACCCAAGGTCACATCAGCAGGTGCAAGTGGAGGAGTGGGGAATCAAACCCGGTTCTCCCAGATCAGAGTCCGCACACTTAACCACTACACCAAACTGGCTCTCTGTTAACTGTTCCTAGTTAACAGATCCCACAGGCAGGAGAGAGGTGGAAATGCCTCAGCCTCGATGAGTCCAGGGCACTCAAGGGGTTCCTGGCAGCAGGCAATGGTCCTAAAGGGGTCTTCACTCCAAAACTGGATCACTGCCGCCTCCCTGTGCTCTCACAGTTGTATCCTTCCCGTAACTCCCACTGAAGTGCCTTAACTGCTCTCTAGCCTGGCTGTGCTGGCCCATTCAGCTCCACACAAACTGATCTGAGCTACCAGCCAGTCCCACCTTGGGTGTCAAATGGCCTTTGACCTCAGAGCTGAGAGGCAGAGCACTGAATCTGATATCACAAGTGATCTGGAAGAAAGATGGAGCATATAAAAGGGAGAGGGGAGAGGCGAAAAGGAGCCCGTTTTGCTCCTTCCTCCCCTGACGTTGATTTTCTCTGGCACCAACACTCAACCTAGACCCCTCAGATTAGCCTCCTTTGAGTCAAGGGGACCAGATAAAGGAGAGGCTGAACCGGCTACTCCACCGAGTTAAGAGAGTGCCACCTCCAGTCTTAGAGCACTCTGGAATAAGTCCCCTTCACCAAGCAGCCTGATCTCCTGTCAATATTGACCAAGCCCTGTGCTAATATTTGAGGCCGCATGGCTGGCAAACCCAGCCCTGTTATAAATTCAAGGCGGAGCATGCCTGGCAATGGAAGGGGTGATCAAAAGAGACCGGCAATGGGTTGTATCGAACCCTTATTCTATATAGCCTTCTAATGGTCCTGTGGGACATTAACGCCTCCGTGAGCTTCCACCCCACCGCCATCCACTGGGGTCAGCCTCACAAAAGAGAGTCCAAGATCACCGTCCAGGGCTCCACTTTCAAAGGGATTGGTGCTTTTGTTTTAGTAGCAGCTCAAATGCACACACCCCTTCTCTCCAACTTTGGTGTATTAGCTGTCTGGGAGCAGCGAAAGGATAATGGAAGAGTTCTGCAGATACCAGATTCTGAGCCATGAGCTAGAACTTTAAGATGAAGGGAGAAGACCCTTCATCTGCATCATTTAAGTTTATTTTGTTCTGCACAATTTGCCATACTCTCAAGTTGCAGGTTAGCTTTATTTGGTTTTGCAAGAACCAGGAAAAAATAAAAAGAAGGAAGGACACAGAGTGGGCTGCAAGGTAAAAGGGCCAGGGTAAAGCAACCACCGAGGAGAGACTAAAAAGAGATATTTAATGAGTTACGGGCCCACTCCTTTCAGCTTAAAGCCCTGCCGTTTCCCATACCAGATACTGGATCTGGAGCCTGTGCAAATCTGTGAATGTAGCAGTGGTGGAAAGCGCTGTCAAGTGGTGGCCGATTTATGGCGACCCCGTAGGATTTCCAAGGCAAGAGAGGAACAGAGGTAGTTTGCCATTTCCTGCCTCTGCGTAGCAACCCTGGACTTCCTTGGTGCTCTTCCATCTAAGTACAATGCAGGGCTGACTCTGTTTAGCTTCTGAGATCTGATGAGATCAGGCAAGCCTGGGACATCAAGGTCAGTGCAGTGGTGATCGTGGAAAGTGCTGTCATGTTTCAGCCGTCTTATGGCAACCCCGTAGGGCAGGGGTCCCCAACCTTCTTGTGCCTGTGGGCACCTTAGGAATTCTGACAAAGGTCAGTGGGTACAGTCACAAAATGGCTGCCACGGGAGGCCACGGCAGGTGGGACTAACCACAAAATGCCAGGGGTCGAGGTTATATACAACTCTAAGGGTGCGTTCAGACGCACCGTTTGATCTGGTGTCGTCACGTTTCAGCAACGGATTTTATCTGCATGATCACACAGTCAACATCTGCCTCCCATCCCCAGCCATTGGTTTCCGGCTGAAAACCGCTTTAACCCGGAGTATTTTGTTACCAGGTCCCAAAGTGGTATTTTCTCAGCTCTCCTGTTAATGCTGCATTTCCCCCCTGTGTGATTGCTCATCCGGTGTCAAGCCACTTCCGGTTTAAACCCCCTCCCTGCTCGAAAGCTGCCCGAGGCTTCCGCTTTTCACCCACCTTTTTTTTTTTAGCGTCAGCGGTGCGCGCATAGACAGAGCTCCGCTACCATGTTTAGAAAACCGACATTTAAACAATCACTTGTTTTAGAGTTTAGATGAGTTCAGGATCTCACGGAGGCCATTTTTGGGTCAAACTTTTAAAGGGAAGTCTTTTGTTGGAGGGATTGGATTGATTCGCCCTGGTGGTTTTGTGCACGCGCTATGATAGTTTCGCCCCCCATTCTACGGAGGGGTGCCTATGCGCATGCGCAAACTGAGAATTTTTTTTAAAAAAACTGCTGACGCACACTCTTGCGCGTTGGTAGTGTAGACGCCGGGGAGCAACATGACTGTGCGGTGAGGCGGGATAAGGGAGGTAAGTGTGATCGCGATTATCCAGATCAAATATAATCTGGTTAGAACTGGAGCAGTTTAACCCGCTCTCAACACGACCGCACCCTAATAGCAACTCTTCAAGATTTCCGTTTATTGGGATTCGTTTTAATCTGCACAGCCAATCAGAAGCCCTGCTGGGGGGAAACCCCATCTAGCCCTGCCCACTTTCTAAAAACACTTGGCAGGCACCAGGAGAGGTGTGGGCGGGCACCATGGCTCCTACAGACAGCACGCTGGGGACCCCTGCCGTAGTGTGTCCAATGCAAGAGACGAACAGAAGTGGTTTTGCCTTTGCCTGCCTCTGTGTAGCAACCCTGGACTTCCTCGGTAGTTTCCCATCTAAGTACTAATCAGGGCCGACCCTGCTTAGCTTCCAAGATCTGATAAGAACGAGCTAGCCCGGGCCATCCAGGTCAGGGGTGAATATGTTGTTGTTCAGTCGCACAGTCGAGTCCAACTCTTTGCGACCCCATGGAACAGATCCCACCAGGCCTTCCGGTCTTCCGCTGTCCTCTGAAGATGGCTCAATTTCATGTTTGTTGCATCGCTGACACTGTCCAACCATTTCATCCTTTGCCGGCCCCGTCTTCTTTGACCTTCAATCTTTCCCAGCATCAGGGTCTTCTCCAGTGAGTGCTCCCTTCTCATTTGGTGGCCAAAGTATTTGAGCTTCAGTGTCATTATCTGGCCTTCCAGGGAACAGTCAGGGTTGATTTCTTTTAGGATTGACTGATTGGATCTTCTTGCAGTCCAAGGGACTCTCAAGAGTATTCTCCAGCACCATAGTTCAAAAGAATCTATTCTTCGGCGCTCGGCCTTCCTTATAGTCCAACTCTCGCAGCCATACATGACTACTGGGAATACCATTGCTTTGACCATGCGGACTTTCAAAAGGGGTGAATATAGGAATACAAAAAGGAAAAGGAAAAGGCAGACAGCAGATAACAAGAGAAAGCAAGAGCAGCAACATCAGTCAATGGTAAAAAGTTCAACGTACCCAGGGGTCATTTCGTAGAAAAAGAGCTAGGGGAACTCATTAGCATAACTCATTAGCATATGCCACACCCCCTGACATCAGGGGCCCGGCGGTGGACCTGCAAAGTCAGCGGGAGTGCGAGGAAGCCCCGCCAAGGCCCTCCCGGCAGGGTGGGGAGAGGTGGGGAGGAAGCAACTTACCCTCCCTCTTCTCCTGCCTCCTCCTGGCTGAATGAGGGCTGGAAGCGGGGCGGCCAGAAGCAGGGGGCGGGGCTTCGTCATGTGCCCCGCCCCCTGCACCTCACCCGGGGGAACTGCGTTCCTCCATGTTCCCCCGCGTTCCCCCCCGAAATGACCTCTGAACGTACCCATCGCTGTTTGACAGAAGGATCGTGAAGGCTCTACTTACTACTCAGACAGCCAGATGGAAAAGATGAGCAGTGCCTGTTGCGTCATGTTCCTCCCTCAGGATTTGGCCTGTCTGCTGAGGGGGGTGCTGGGCACAAATGAGCGTCTGGCTGTTCCAAGCACCTGGGAGGTCAGCTGCATCTGTGTGGCCAGAATGGGGTTCGAACCCACTTTGCCTGGCTAGGATTTGCAGTTGAGTTTGGACTTGGGGGAGGGAGGAGTTAATAGGACATTACAGTGAACTTACTGCTCTTGTGCTTGTTCCTGCATCTGTATAATAACAAATCTGGAAGCCAGCGTAGGTAGCTGTTGGGAGTATTGGACTAGGACCTGGGAGAGCCAGGTTCGAATCCCTAATCTGCCATGCAATGCTCCCTCTAAGCTGTGGAGTCTTGTGAGCAAAAATTCTACTTTGTGAGCTACTGGCATTAAAGTTGTGAGCCAGCGATTTGGCTACTGCATAAATTATTTGGTCTGGAGCTGGAGGCTAAAAAACGGTGAGCTAGCTCACACTAACTCAGCTTAGAGGGAACACTGCTGCCACGCTACCTGTGTGACCTTGGGCGGGTCACTCTCTATCAGTCTACCTCACAAGCTGGCTGTTGCAAGGATAAAGTGAAAGAAGAGAGGATGGTGTTGTTTTGGGTTCCTACTGGGAAGGGAAATGGGATATAAATATCTAAATAAAGAAATAGGTAGATATAAGTCTATAGTTTAAGCAAAAAGACTATTAAACAATAATCCTCCCACGTTTTCTCCTCCAAAAGGAAACTTGCCCCAGGGTGGACTGGGAGGAAAACAACAGCTCTGTTAAAATGCCCTGCCTCTTGGACTGCCTGGCCTCAGATTCCAAAGGAAGGAGGCCGGGGGAAAGAGCCAGCCCGCCCGCTCATCCATCCCTATGTTTTGCAGGGCTCAGTTGGGTGTCACCTTCCCCATGCCACAAGATGGCTTGACTGGGTGATTATGCCCTTCTTGCCACGGGGCAGGCGAGGCCCAGGTAGGAGGACCCAGCCACCAGCCCAACAGGAGAAGTCCTGGTGCTCACAATGGCCAATCTGCCCCTGGCTTGCCCCATGCCTCCGGTGGTTCAGGGAACCCAGACATCTGAAGGTAAACAAGGCATCCATGAGCTGGGGTAACAGGAGAAGAGACCAAGGTAGAAGAGAAGGAGTTTTCATGTTATACTTAGACACACACCCACCCCAACAACTGCGCATAGAACAGCGGCACAGCTCATTGTTATGAATGGTTAGGCTCCCAAAAATGAAGACACAGGACACTCTAGTAGGGTTGCCAGCTGCCAAGTGGGCACAGCCAAAAGAGTATCACGGGAAAAAGGTAAATCAAAAAACAAACATAACCATGAAATCATTACTAGAGAACATTCACAACATATAGTTTATATGTTGAAAAGCTCAAAAATAAGGTTCATTAAAAACTCATTTCAGTCCAGTAATTCAAAGCAACCCATCCATCAGTACTCCAAACACTTTTAAAGTGACGCGTGCCCTAAATATACAGTACTGGCAGACTTTTAAAGCCAGCTGGTGGAGTGGGGGGGCCCAGCAGTTGGGCCAGGAGGGTTTGCTTCACCTCTCCCTCCAGATTAGGGAGCTGGCTCTTGCCTCCCTGGGATTCCTTTGACGCTCTCCGCTATCTCGCCCTCCTTTTCTTATTATCTCCACTAGGCCTGAAGTGAATCAGCAGCCGACCTGGGGACTCCCAATTCTCTTTTCAAAAAAAGTGATTATGTAAAGAATAGCAAGGTTATGATCCCTGATGGGTGTAGTGCAGATTTCGTAGAGTGACCCGTGAATGACTCAAGCTAACCAGCCAGGAAGCACGGCTGAAATACCTTGGGAACACCTTCTTCAGACGGAAGGTACCTCGGGTTATTGATTTCTGGATCTGGACCGCAGAAGCAAATCCTTCAAGGATCGGCCTCCTGCCTTCCCCCCCCGCCCCGCCCCAGGAACTGTATTGACTCACGTTCCCAGCACCTCCCGGAATTCGTAGATCTCCCGGATATCTCCCGCTCGTTTCTTCCAACTGGGCTCATCTTCCTCCAAAGGCATGGTTCTTCCCAGGCTGAATTGGGTGGCCCAATCTCCAGCTGGCCAGGAGCAGCGGGACGGAAAGACGAAGCAAACTTAGGGCCTAGGAAGGCAAGGACAGAGGTGGTGTTGAAACATGGGAAGCTGAAGACAGGGGCTCAGACTGCACCCCCGGATCTCCACAACATTTATGAGAAGGGGAAGGATGGCACAACAGGGGCAGAGGGTGCCTCACACATTCAGTTCTGTCTCACTGAGGGCTTAATTACACACTACGCTTTTACCCAATAAGGTCTCAGGATTGGGTTGACAGCAGCGTTCCCTCTAAGCTGAGTTAGTGTGAGCCAGCTCACAGATTTTTCGCCTCCGGCTCACACGTTTTTTGCCTCAGCTCAGGAAGGAGGGCTCCAGAGCAAAACTGATTGACGCAGCAGCCAAATGGCTCGCTCACCACTTTAAGGCCAGGAGCTCACAAAGTAGAAATCTTGCTCACAAGTCTCCACACCTTAGAGGGAACCATGGTTGACAGGTGTGGTCTGTGAGTTCTCAGGTGTAAAAAGGTAAAGGTAAAGGTTCCCTTGCTACACATACAGTCGAATCCGTTCACCTTAGAGGGAACCATGGTTGACAGGTGTGGTCTGTGAGTTCTCAGGTGTATGCAGGTCCAATTCAGAACCAGACCACAACACATAGGGTGAGGGGATTTAAACCTTCACCTGCATTATTTCCCTCCAGGGAACTGAAAAGACAACAGGGTACTACTATTTGTCCCACTGGGGAAAGTTCCACGTAGCCCATCAGTACCTGTCAAGTTTCTTCAATGGGGCAAAAAATAATTATCCAGTGCTATTTAAGGTCAGGAACACAGTGTGGGGAGAAGGCTTATTGCCCCCTCTCCCCACAAATTATGGGCCCAATCTGAATCAGGCCCATACATGCCTGGCAACACAGACCTCCAAGACCAAGCCTGTCGACTAGGCCCAGGGACCTACCTGAGGAAAGCATACTCTGTGTTTTGACCCTCAGTTCATCACATTCATACAGAGCTGCAGCTACCTGTTCCTTCCCAGCAAAAGGCTCCAATCCAAAGGCTGTTGATCTACATCAACAAATGGACATTCTTAAGAGAAGCAGCTTAGTTATAAATAGTTTACTTGCAGACATCGGTATTCCTATCCCAAAATCTACCAAGTTCCCCTAAGCACTTCACTTTTTACCGCTACCCTCTGTGACCTCAGAGGTGCCTGTGCAAGGACCATGCGGCCTTTCCAAAAGCGGGTGTAGCTGTGACCACAGACACAGCTAAGGTCTTATTTTGCTTCAGCTCATCTCACCCCATTCCTCTCCATTATTCTTCACTGTTATGCCCTTAAGCATAGACTTTAGCCTATTTAGTAACATTACTGCTATCTCCATGACAACAGCCATAGTTCTCACAACACTGAAAACACAGTTCCTGTTTTTGCCCTACCCTGCATCTCCTGGGGGCAGACTTGCCCATTCTCTCCACCACCACCCCTTAAGGACCAGACCCCATGCTTGATCGGCGATTCAGCCAGCACTCACACAAACATAAGCAAGCCGCAATGGGGGCTTCTGCAAAGGCTGTACAAAGGAAAGGTGCATTTGTGCCTGAAGTGCTTTATTATTATTTATTGGATTTTTGACCGCCCTTCCCAGAATCCGGGCTCAGGGTGGTTTACAGTGATATAATACCAGAAAAAGAACAATTAAAACCAAGATAGCAAACAATAAAACATTCGATTATAGAAAAAAACCCAAGATGGTTTCTGAGTCCTGATGGTGTCACTATCTCGTGGTGTGTATGTGTGTGTGTGAAAAAAGTGGAGGTGGGAGTGTCAAGATTAGGGTTGCCAAGTGTACTTACCCTTGGCAGCGGGGCAGTCTTGCCGGGCTCCGGGAGCTCCTCCAGGACACGCGTGCGCCACCAGCACGTCACAGGAAGTGATGTGCTACGTCGCTCACGCTGGGGGCGTGGCCACGCCCCCAACGTGAGCGATGTGGCTGCGTCACCCCTGGTGACGTAGCTTCGGGGGGGGGAGTTTCCCCCAGGGCCCGATTCCGCCGCGGAAATCGGGCCTCCAAAGCGGGGGTTTCCCCGCCCCCCGCCCCTACTTGGCAATCCTAGTCAAGATGGAACTGTTGCCACCGTCAGGCAAATGCCTGGTGGAACATCTCTGCCTTACAAACCCTGCGGAACCATAATAAGTCCCGCAGGGCCCAGATGGAACTTGGCAGACAGTTCCACCAGGTTGAGGCCAGGGCAGAAAAGGCCCTGGCCCTGTTTGAGTACATCTGGATTTCTCTTGGGCCAGGGACCACCAGCAAATGTTGATCAACAGAGTGCAAGGCTCTCCAGGAGAGGCGGTCCCGAAGATATGTAGGTCCCTGGCCATTAAGGGCCTTAAAGGTCAACACCAACACCTTGAACCGGATCCATTACTCCACTGGAAGCCTGTACTTCTTGTTGCCTGTACGTCTGCCACAGAAGGAAAGGCTGATTTCAGTTAAAAATACATACTGTTCACACATGCTCTAAAAAACAGAATTACGTAATACTGTTTTTCCCTCCTGCGCAGGAAGGTTGCATTCAGTGAATCAGTTTGAAGGCTGTTCCTCTTTAAAGAGAGGTCTTTATTCTCTCAGGGCCAATCTACATACACAATTCTTTGGAATGCTTCCATGCATCAAAAAAATTTTGCCCATGAGAGCTGGCATGTCTGAAAGAAAGGTTCTAGGGTTAGCCTCTGCTTATGTGGCGCTGTAAAGACTCATAAGCTTTTATTCTAGCATCAGCTTTCAAGGACCACAACATCTGACAAAGCATGTTCTAGTCCACAAAAGCTTATGCCAGATCAAACACGTGGATTTTTAAGGTGCCACAAGACTCCTAATATGATGGCTTTCCATCTGCAGGACCTTCAGATGTTCAAAACTACAATCTGCCACCAGCATTCTGAAATGGCATTATCCCGGGAGGACCACAGCATGCTGTTCTTCTGAACACGTAGTTGGCTATGTGTGAAGAAAGCATTAAAGTCCATGTGTTAAAATGAATATAACTGTCTGTGTGAATTTAAGGAACAGGAGTAGTTGTTTTAGCTTCCACTTAGGTAGGGCCACTCACGGCTCCCTAACAAGAGCCAAACCTCTACCTCTCTCCAAGTTCCACAAGTTCTAGGGTTGTCAGGTCCAGTGTTCCCTCTAAGCTGAGCTAGTGTGAGCTAGCTCACAGTTTTTTAGCCTCCAGCTCGCAGATGTTTGCCTTAGCGCAGGAAGGATGGCTCCAGAGCAAACTAATTTATGCAGTGGCCAAATTGCTCACTCACAACTTTAATGCCAGTAGCTCACAAGGTAGACTTTTTACTCACAGGACTCCACAGCTTAGAGGGAACATTAGTCAGGTCCCACCTGGCCACCGGTGGGGGATGGGGGGTAGGGGTGCCAGATCTAGGTTGGGGAACCCCTGGAGATTTGGGGGGTGGAGTCTGGGGAGAACAGGGACCTCAGTGGGGTACAATGCCATACAGTCTTCCCTCCAAAGCATACATATTCTCCAGGGGAACTCATCTGTGTAGTCTGGAGAGGAGCTGTAATTCCGGGGATCCCCCGATCCCTCCTGGAGGCTGGCATCCCTATCCACAATTCCTTTCTCTACACTTCCATGCATATATTCATCATCTTTCCAGACTTCAGTCTATTCTACAGGTATAAGATACACAGAGGAAAATCAGTCATTTTTTCATTCCATGCAGTCAGGTTGCCACCCGGGCAGAAATGTTTGCATCACGGCTATTTAAAAGAAGAAGAAGAAAGAATTCAAAACATCAACAGACCATTTAAAACCAACATGCATCCAGACGAATTAACCACCTATGGCTGAATGGCATCTTTACCACCCAGGGTAACATTATTCCCCTCGTGGAATGATCCAGCCCAGGCACCTAGCAGCTAAAATGACCATTTGCAATCCAAATGTAAGAAGTAAATGGCAAAGACCAGAGCTTAGCGAAGAAAGCACTGTCAAGGCCAGGTCTGATGAGAATCAGGGGACAGCTTGTTGGCTCTTTATGTTGGGCTCGCTGTATTCTTATTTTATTGTTATGATATCTGTTTTTAAATTAGCAGGCCACCTTGAGCCTCTGTTTTACGTAGGAAAGGGTAGGATAGAAATGATCTGAATCAGATGACGTTCATGAGTCAATGGTGTCCGGTTGTATAATTTCAGGGGGGGGGGGAACCCTTTTTATTCCTAGGCAGCAGCTAATTTTTAATGAGTATCATGTCTTGAACTAAGCGAGGGATGGAGGGCTGGCAGTGTGGTTCCACCCAAACTAGACGCTACGCATTAGATGCATATAAAAATCTTTTGATGGGATTTTTTTTTAAATGAAAAGCCGCTGTGGGAGACTATTAATTTGAACAGAAGAATGGGGGAGTGGGGGGGGGCAGGGATTGCTTAGCTGTTTCTCTCACGACCATTTTCCTGTCCAAATCATCCTCTCCCCAGATGCTGGGGGGGCGGGGGAGAGAGACAGGTGTGAGGACCAGGCCGGCTTCCTTTCTCCATCCATTGTCACATCCTCCTTGGCACCTATGATTCCTCCAGCACTGGGAGAGTCAGGAAAATTAGAGTCTGAAGAAGACAGGTAAACAGAAAACCAAAAAGCAGACACTGTTGCCTTCAGCCTAGTGATCCACCCCAGCCTGAATATGGGAAAGCCTGCTTAAGTCGATGGTGCACCACAAGGCTTTCTAGGGCAAAAAACTTGGGCGGGGGGGGGGGGGGGGGGGGGAGACAGCACCATCATCCTCATTTACGGACTTAGCTACTGCTGATTGAAAGCCGGATTTGAAGTTCAGGGCAGGGGAAGCATATAAAGCTAGAAATGCTAGAGCGGTGGTACTGCCAGGTCCCCCCTCCTGGCCACTGGTGAGGCGGTGGTGGGCACTGTTCACTCTAAGCTGTGGAGTCTTGGGAGCAAAAATTCTACTTTGTGAGCTACTGGCATTAAAGTTGTGAGCAAGCGATTTGGCCGCTGCATGAATTAGTTTGCTCTGGAGCCGTCCTTCCTGAGCTAA